GAAGTATCACTTTTCTAGATATCACAGAAACGACGAGGTATTACCAAAATGAAATCACTAGACGATTGAGGTAAAACTAGAGACTAAAGTGGTTGTTAGATTATCGACATGACGGAAAGAGGTTACTTCAGTACAATTAAAATACATTTGTTTATTCACTGTGTCGTTTTTCACAATTTTATCTACTTATAATTTATATTGGTTGTCCTATATCGGTATATTGGCACATCCATCGGTATTGGTTGATCTCTAGTCCAGGTGTTGATCTAATATTCCTCAGCTTCTAGGTATTTCTTTTTGTTGATAGTGTGATGCGTCCAAGAGTGCATGCTTAGAGATAAAGAATAGACGGGACGCCTAGATATATGGAAATAATTGTAATTGCAAATTCCATTTTGCATCTACGAGAATAACACTCAACTTACACTATCCACACTGGAAATTACCGCCTTCCGGTAAATGTCTGGGGATATGTTATCGCGCACAGTTTCATACAAATGTTCTCTTCAGTAACACCCTCCATTACACCGCTCGACTTTTAGGATATTAAACAAGATCACAAAGAAATTTTGAATTGAAGAACGTTTAAAAAATGCTTCGTGACTCGGAGACACTGTAGCATTCAACGAAATTTGATAGCTTAGTAACCAGTTGGGGGCCATCAAAACGGTTAAGTTATTTCGATCGCCAGGGACGGACTTACCTCAACCCAGTATTTCTGTAACGTAATGGTTCAACGATAGCTTTTTCGGGAAGCCTGGTGTTTAAGCTGAGATAGTGTACCCCCATTTGACATCGATGGATTGAAAAAACACTCTCAGTATCTGTATACTGGTTGCGACGATTCAGAAATATTGCAATTCTGATAACATGATCATAATTAGCGACCAGAAAAAACCTCGCCACAATTCGTACGATATCCAACACTTCCAGGCGTATAAAACCAATAGCCACTAAGTTTACTCGATATCAGATTACGTCCAACTCAGTTTACTTGACCCATTTCTGCGTTTTCCCACGTTTCTATCCCTATAACCCAATTTGTTACTTTTTTGTTCGAATGTCACGAACGCAATAGTCTGAGTGGGTTCATTATCTACGAGGTGCGTTCAGAAAAAGGATAATACATATGCATCTGACTCGCTTCAATACTTTGACTGTGCTTTCGCAACTACTTTGGTACAAAAAACGGGTTAGTTGAACAAAAATTAGAGCATTTAGAGTGGAATGAATAGAAGGACTAAATACCTGCATTTACTTACTCATATGGTTCACTCACAAATAGAAGGTCCTCGATAAGAAGGATCGCGATGTCAGCTGGATTTTATTCACTGAAAATATTTCATTTCAAGTTGATGGTATCCCTGAAATTTTAGCATCTAGATCTTTTAGAACATGCGAACTTTCAACTTTCAGCAACATCTTTCTCTTTATTGCAGTACTTTATTGTTTTTTAAAATCCCAAAGTTCACACTTTTGGCACTTTTGTCTCAAATTCAATCATTTTTGAAAATTTATAATAAAACACACTGAGACACAAAACCCGCAAATTGTTGCTCTGCCGAGGTGAGTGTAAAAAGGAAGGTTGAAACAATTCAATTTACGATTATAATGAGACTTTTGTTTTTATCCTGAGCGCAGTGTGCCTGTGTCTGTTTCATCTCAGATAATTGTTAACCGCTGCGCTGGTTCAATCGTTTTCGTTAAAAATGCTAAAATTGGCTTTTAAAAAACAATGAAGTACTGAAATAAAAAGAAAAATGGTGACAAAATCTTAAAATACATATGTTCTAAAATATCTAAATGCAACAATTTCATAGATGCGTTTAACTTGGAAGTTGAGTTATTCCCAGGGTCGAACACACAACCTTCAGAGCTTGATCCTTTAATACTTGTCACAAGATACCCAAACGTATTAGATGCAGACAACGTTTTTTGACTATATGCAAAAACCCAAAATAAAGTTTTTAAAAAAATGTCTTATCCGCGGACGTTTTTAATATGACAACAATTTCTGAGGCTTTTTATCCCCAAAACTACGTTCCGCTAACGCCTTAAAATGACTAGGAAACAGAAAGGCTTCAATCAGTTAAATCCTGGCTATGTTCATTCATGTCGACGACGAAAAAAGGCTAATCATGTAGAAATGGGCACACTTGGGAATGTTTGCATGTAGTTTTGATAAGTTCAAATCCAAAAAGGAAAATCTACAATACCTTTTCCACGCCTACAGTCTAGAAGTTAAAATCAACACTCAATTCAGTCACTATAATAATTCCCTATAAGCTTAAGGATCTTGTTACCGTTAACATTTACTGGTATACAAACCGTCCAATTCAAGTATTTACTATGTGAATACGTTCTCACTTTTTTATTCAAACTACCTGTTGTACTGGAGTATTTTCTCCCGATTATGCACGTTACAGCGATTATTTATTTGATATTTCTAAGCTAAAAGCAATTGCTTCTTTCAACAGCCAAAATAGTCGTTTCTGAATGTACAGAATTACAGAGCCTATTCTAACGCAATTGCTTTAAGTGGAAGGCAAAATCAAGCGATATTATTTTATTATTGCATTATTTATGTAATTCTCTCTCGACATTGCTTGAGTAACAAATATTTGAACACACCTGGTAGGCCCTGCGTTTGCGTTTATAGCAGACAGTTTTATGGATCAGTAAAAAACCAATTTACAAAATTCAACATTGGCATGCTAAACATAGTATCCAAAAATAGTATTTAGATTATTAGGGTGAGATTTTGGACCCCTATCGTTATGTTTTTCTATTTCTTTTATAGCTGTGTGACATTACGTTAAAAGTAGGATTAGAAAAATTTAGAGCCCACAAGGTGGTACTGGCATCAGTTAGCCCATACTTTTTTGCAATGTTCAATGGTAAGTACCGAAGATTTTCATGTTTGTAGCATGCATTTTTGTTTAAAGAAAGAAGAAACTATACAGGGCTACTGGAAATTTGCCGCAAGACGTGGAAAATAAAATGCAACAAAAACCTTATATTTCTATACTATAAAATTAATAGTTTTCAGAGTTTTTAATGCTTGTAATTTCTAGTCACTCGGAATTGGGCTTGTCAGCATAAATAATAAAGAAATTGTGAGATATGGATGAGGCTGCGGTTGATTCTCGTAGTTTCAACTCAAATGATGAGGATGGGATCATATAAAGAGCGAAAAGACTATAAAAAATAAAACAGTAGCTATTCTAAAAAAATAGTATGATTTCCGTTTTCAGTTTTACTTGGAATGACGTTCTGTCTAGCTGGAAAAATTGCTTGTACATTGCGCGTGAGAATTACTAGAATCACATGTTGGTTTTTGCTTTTGTCATCTTTGAGAAAAAAAGTGGCTCTCAGCAGTTTTGCCGCATTTACTATGAGCTAAAGATCAATTATTCGTGTTATGTGTCTTCGATATGTAAGGTCCAAAGACGTAGAAAACTCGAGAATGATCAATGACGGCAACATTGCCTTTTATCGCTCTTCAGAGTCGCTGCTAAGGCCCACCAAAAATCTTGCCATCGCTTTTCCAATCGTCGAATTTTCTACGTCTTCGGTACAAAGGAGTTGCATATAGAAAACACATAACACGGGTAGTGACAAGGCTTTAGAGAATTCGACGTAATGGGGCAATTTCTTTAGTTTATCGTACACACAAAGCAACTAAGGACCACGTTTTCCTCAACGGTGACAAAGCCAGGAGCTAGACACTATATGCGGACATCATTCTCATTTAAGAGGCTCGAACTGAGCAGAGTTGTATGAATTAGTTCAAACTTATATGGCGAAGATTTGGATAGTTACATCGAAAGTAAAAAATGAAAATAAATAGGCATACTTTACAAATACACCAAAAATTAACCTCACTAGAACAAGTGATGAAATAAATGCTCGATTACTTAGATTATATGCTTGGGGGGTTCAGTGATATTGTTTCAACCTTTTGCCGAAAGACATGTACCGAAAATTGTTTATATGCTTTAGGAAGATCATTATAAATAATAGAAAAGTTGCCCGAAAAGTTCTACAGTGAATATCATTATTGAATTAAAATTTTTCCTTCAAGTAAGAGGGTTTTGGCGTGAGTAGTTATTTGTGAAAAAAAAACTGAATAATGATACTTGACCAAGTCATTAATTTTTAAACAGTTTAGAACGGGATATTTCGCTGATACGTGATCAAATTTACATATGCCAAAGATGAAACGTATACAATTGTTTTGAATAGCTTGGATAATGGTTTCGGTGAAATTATCTAAACATGTGTAGTGTGATATTCTAAGAATTTAGTTTAGATGAAATACCTGTTTACTATAACGGTCCGTAGCCTTAGATAGGTTTCATTAAAATTATTAGTTGATTTAAGGATTATTATTTGACCATGATTTTGTTGAGAACTAAACTCTCTCATTCTAATGGTTGTTATCATTTCAAGCTAACAATACGGGCAAGCGTTTCTGGTAATTGTACCTGGAATACACTAGCAACTTTTATAGCTAGACACAACTCTTTTTCTAAGGAAAATTAAAAACAAACGTTTTCAGAATAGCGGTTATTTTATGGTGTATTTAAGCACTAACTTCAATCGAAAGCTGACCCATATCTCAGATAGCTTTTTATTATTTAGACTGAAAACTGACAAAAAATTAAACGACTGCCTTTCGCCTTTGTTTATGTAGGCTGAAATTCTCTCTCCTATCACCTCCTAGTTTCTCTTGCTTTGTATGGTAGCAGAATAATTTCACAGATGGTAAGAGGAAAACTCAGATGAGTTCAAAAGTCTCTCTAGTACTTGTGATGCAAAGTAGTTCGCATGGATAACCAATAACTGTTAGAGACTGAGGATCCAAGCCTTGATCCCTTGTAACTAAAATATATATATCATACCATATTAGAAACCTTAAGGCCATATCTGCATAAGACGATCGCTAAACGCTTCGTTTTATCACATGCACCATTCTTAGATGGATCTCTACCGCGTGTATGCAACAATTGAAGTGTGCTCTTGCCTATTTACATGATCACACATTCCATTTCATTTTTTGTGTAGGTGATATGAAAGAACACACTCTTCCAGAAGTAGAGCTTCATGACCTAGATCCAACGGCGATAGAACTGCTGGTAGAATACGCATATTCTGGCCAAATAGTTATCACAACAGATAACGTTCAAGTACTTCTACCAGCTAGTAGTTTGTTACAGATGCAAGAGGTCAGAGAAGCTTGTTGTCGATTTCTTCTCAGACAGTTACATCCAACGAATTGTTTGGGGATTAGAAGTTTTGCTGGTAAGTATATGGTGTTTATGCTTTTGTAGCTTTTTCTAACCAAAGAGTAACTAAGCAAGGGAAGCATCTAGAAAACTACCCTCAAGCACAAATGAGAGAAGGTCGGAGAGATAAATTCCGCAGACATAGGTATCGGTACAGAAAAATTCCTTATCACCTACCGTTGCGTAAGGGTGCAGGTTCAACAAGTTTCAGTGCTTTATCTCTTTCTCTCAAACGTGGTCATGTGGTTGGGGTAGCAGATATCAGATCACTAGACTTAAATCGTTATCTTTGTGGATAGATAGTGAGAAGCTCTCCGTACAGACATATGGATATTCCGACTTAATGGTTAATTCGTTCAAAGTGATTTATATCACAAATTATCAAAGTTAAATACTTGATTCTTGAAACTGCTGCTACCATTTGCCTGCTTTTTTAGCACAACCTTGCTCTGTGATATTGTACGTCAATATAAGTATTTATGGAGTAATTGGTATCTAAAAATATACAAGCAGATCAATTATATAGCTGAAATACGACTAGTGAAGTATACTCCAGGAACTAATTCAAAGTAAATAACTTTTTGTAGCAACACTTTTCTCGGCTATCTTCAGTTTATTCACATCAGTCCCAATAATTCAATAATTTTCTGGCGAATTATTGTTTATTAATGTTATGTATGACCTAAACTTTAAAAATAAAAAGGTGGTTTTTATATGTTCTCAGTACTTCAAAACGGTCTGGAACATAATTCTTTCGTAAATTTATGCATTCGCAAGATTCGTACGAACAGGAATAAGATAATGTTTGTTGACAATCCCTTTTGAAAATTGTTACATAGATTAAAACAGAAAGATAAATGTGATATTTCATATTTGATGTTTCCTATGTTTCCACAGAGAAACGTATTTTTTTGTATCGAGCATTCATTGCAAAGTAGCTTTCATTTGTATTTTCACTGGTTTTCCTTAGTATCGACGTTTTCGTACAGTATTAAACTTCATGCAAATGAAACAGATCAACGTTTTGATTTGCTTGTATGAAGATATTTCAATTTCAATTTCCGTGAGTCGCGCTTGTTCAAGTTCACATGTATTAGAGTAAAGATGTATTTCGGATGTGTAGTTTGTCATTGTTTATACGAATTGTTGCGTTTCTGTGTTTTTTTTTTTTGAAAATCAAACGCGACTGCGCTGAAATTTATATTTTATGTCTTAAAGCTCAGAAACGCCTGAAGTTATGAATTACATCAAGCAATAAGGTATCTTTAGAAATAAGTATAAACGATAAAAGTAAGCAGTAATATTTTCTTGTTCTTCCAGATACACATTCCTGTAAAGAGTTGCATCACAAATCGCATATATATGCTTTGCAAAACTTCCAGCAAGTAGTTTGTACTGAGGAATTTTTACTGTTGCCATTTGATGAAGTAAGATATTCACATTACAAGTATATATGAAAGTTGTTATATAATCAAAGTTTGTTTTTGAACACTGATAGTTTCAACAGAACATATACATACTCTATCTCTACTTTTTTAGGTAAATGATTTAATTTCCAATAGTCAATTGAATATCTCTTCCGAAGAAGATGTCTTCACAGCAGTTCTGAACTGGGTGAAGCATGATTTGGCTGAAAGAAGTAAACATATTCCTAGGGTAAGAAGAAAGTGAAGTTGCCTCTATTGCTGCCACCAATATTTTTATTTTTTAACACCAAACAATCCTTCATTATTATTTTGTATTTGAATGTTTTTCAATCATCCAATTGTAAATAAAATTTATGTGTGGTCGTATTGATCCTCTAAATATTTCACCGAAATGTAACTCCCCTTTCAATACGTTTTGAAGTAAATGTGGCGTGAAGGTTAATGATGCGTTACAGCGAAGCTGAAACAACTTCTATTATAGGGCAAATAAAGTTCAGCACCAGAGTTTGATCAATAGGATTCAGAAGAAATAAACTGTGTGCTTAATGTCATAGAATAATTATAGGAATATTTTATTAGACAAATATTTAGTTTTTCTTGTTTGAATGTATCTGATCAGTTTTGTCGATTGCTTTGACTCGAATGTGCTATATGAACATATTGGTTACTAGCAGTTACATGAAGATACAACAAACATTCAACAAACTATGGAGTAGTCTTTACCTAAACAACGTTACATTTTTCAGTAGCTTAACAGGTTGCCTATCCCTTTTCAAGGATAATGCTGAGTCTTATATATATTTTACGTCAAACTCTTAGCGTCAGAGAACAAAGGTCATTTTCGTCATATATGGCCGAAGGCAGAACTAGGGTCACATTCTAATTGTTGGACGTTGAAAAACTGATTACGACTTCTCAGAAAGCATAACCCTTTGTTTATCCGTGCAACAGATGGCAGGCTCTGCAGCGTCTAGTTCATATAGAGAAAAGAGTACATCTACAATTTCTAGGCGAAGTTCCAGACAATATTAAAAAATGTGTCCTAAAACAGTAACCTTAAAATTTGGTCTTAGTAGTTTTCTACATCAATCAAAGCTTAATTTTTTACTGTACGCATTATTCAGAAAGTAATGATTGAATTCAGTAGTGATCCTCTTGTTTTGATCGAAAATTATCTTTTCTGTCTTTTAGTTAATGCAACATGTGAGACTGCCGCTAGTCAATAGAGAGTTTTTGATGACTCGAGTAGATAACGAAAAACTTATTAGAGAGAACAACGACTGCAGAGAATTGTTATTAGAGGCCATGAGGTATCATTTGGCCCCTGAAAGGAGATGTGCTTTAACGTCTACGCGAACCATGGAAAGAAAACCTAGTGGTGCTGACCCATACCTCTTTGCAGTAGGTAAGAATGAAATAAAATTTCGATACCTCAAAACTTTTCTACAACGCTCAGCATTTCTTAAATTGTATTAGTGTATCTCTTAAAGTTTCTGTGGATATGCAATTCTTGAAGCCATTTATTATCTTATATTGATAATGTCGATGGTAAGAAGCTTTATATCATGAGAGCATTGGGAATTTTTGCAGGTGGGGGCTCACTTTTCGCCATTCATGCGGAATGTGAAGTGTACAACCCTAAAACGGACACTTGGTCCTCGATAGCGCCTATGCAGTGGCGCAGATCAAGATCGGGGGTTACAGGGTTGAGAAGACTACTTTACGTTGTAGGAGGGTAAGTAACAAGACTGACACGAAGTTACGAATCGTCTACTTGATTTGCGCATTGTGTAACCTCTGATTCATCTTGCTACGAAGTCACAAGTGCCCCCAGTTGAAATAAAAAAACTTTAATTGATTGATGTCTTTTACTATTTCACTAGGCAATTAATTTCTATTCTATGCATTTTCTTATAAATTCAAATATTGCTTTTGAGCTGTTACTAAAAAGGTATAGGTTGCATTTTAGTTATTAATGAGCCAATATATCTAAACAGAAATATTATTTTTATTTTGTAGCTACGATGGCGCCTCAGACCTAGCCACTGCTGAATGTTACAACCCACTCAATAACACGTGGTCACCAATCACGCCCATGGGCACAAAAAGATCATGTTTAGGTATGTATTACTCGGTGAAGCTACTTTTTGCTTCAAATGTTTCCAAAATTTTTTTTGATTAGGTCCCCATTCCGGTCATTTGTTTCTATAGTGCAGCATTATCTGCTAATTTTTACTCTTGAGGGTGTTATTCTAGAGTTACTGAAGATTTATGTAATGAATACTGCCGCCGCCGCCATTTTTCTTGGCGGAGACAAAAATCTCAGAGACTGCACCGATTAACCATCTCAACTTCCCAAACTACGAGGTGCACTCCAATCTGAGAAAGAACGGGGGAGTTGTGGCTTTTGTCCGCAGCAGTCTTTCCTGCTCCAGGGATCTTTCTTTGGAATCAGACCGGAAGGACATTCTGTGGCTTCGCCTCAACTCCAAAACATCACCCAAATTTATTTGGTGCCTTTATCGCTCTCCCTCGAACCATAACTGGGATGACCTACTCGAATACCTCGCCGTCCAGATCGACTTCCTGAACATCAATCACCCCGCTTCAGAGGTAGTCCTTCTCGGTGATTTCAAGGCCCATAATGAGCTCTGGTTGGGCTCAAATAAGACCGATGCAGCAGGTCGTGCAGTCGAAGCGTTCGCTCTTACTCAAGGGCTGACCCAGCTGGTGACGAGCCCTACTTTTTTCCCCCGCGTCTCGTCACACACCAGTAGCCTGCTGGATCTCTTTCTGACCACGCATCCTGCCCCTTACAGCACTGCTGTCCTGTCCCCCCTGGGTAACTCAGATCACGGTGTTGTGGAGGTTAGGTTTCGGTCAGAAGCCGCTGTGGCAGCAGAAACTCGCACAGGCCGCAAAACTTGGCATTACGGACATGCCGACTGGGAGGTGTTCAGAGACTTCTTCTCTAGCTTTCCTTGGAGATATGTCTGTTTCACTGACGCGGATGCGTCGACTGTCTGTTCTTCAATAACCGAAATTATCCACGTCGGAATGGAGGAATACATCCCTGACACAGTGAAAGTTCCTAAACCAGGGCCCAACGGCTGGTTCAACAAATCCTGTGACACTGCTCGCCAGCAGAAGATCAAGGCCCACAGAACCTACTTACAAAACCCCACTGTAGAGAACAGACAAGCCGACGTCGAGTCCAGAAACAAATATAATGAAGCGGTTCGCAATGCCAAAAACCAGCATGATATAAAAGTTAGGCACAGGGTAATGTCCCAGCGCAATGGCAGTCGGTCTTTCTGGACGCTGGCCAAGCAGATTGAAAAGAACTTCTCACACAGTAGCCTTCCACCACTTACGTGTCAGGATGGAACTATTGTATTCGACTCAAAGGCCAAGGCGGAAGTGCTAGCCAAGATCTTTGCTGCCAACTCCACCATGGACGTCCCCACCAACGCCCAAGTGCCGTCAATTCAAAGGATTCCCCACACTATGCGGGAGGTAACATTCAGGCATAAGACCGTAAGACGAGTGCTCTTGTCGCTCGACATCAACAAAGCTTCTGGTCCGGACTTGATTCCTGCCATTGTACTGAAGAGATGTGCAGAGGAGCTTGCTCCAGTTCTTTCGCGTCTCTTCCAGATATCTTATGAATCCGGCACCTTCCCAGTAAACTGGAAATTTGCTCAGTAGATGTCTTATGGGGATTCGGTCTCAAAACTTCCAAAATCCGCCACCAGAGGCGCTGGCGTCGCGCGCCATTGACAGGTTGTTGGACGGAATCTGTATTCATGAGTTGGGGATTCCGCCGCTAGATGGCGCTGTCAAACCAAACGGAATCTGTGTGTCATTGGACACCTGTCATGCGTCATTGGGCATCTCACGCATAGATGGCGTTAAAACGTCATCTGTCATACGTCATTGGACACCTGTCATTGATGGGTTGGGCATCTCGCGCATAGATGGCGCCGATTTGTTTGGCGCTGTACAAACCTAACGGAATCTATGCGTCATTGGACAGCTGCCATTGATGGGTTGGGCATCTCGCGCATAGATGGCGCCGATGTCGCACCTGTCTGGTGTTGGCGTGGATTACGGGGGGCAACGTGTATACAGGGGTGCATCGAAAAATAGCGGATCGATGGACCGACGGTATATCGTTAAATCGTATATAGCAAGGCGTGACCTAAATAGCGTGGTGGGCTCCTCTGGTCGGTCGGTCGGTCGGTCAGAATGTCTCATAACCTGTATACGATGTACTGTTATTATTATACAGGATGATACCGTTCAAAATGAAAATAGTATAGACATTCTGACAATTATTTCGCAAACCAGAGGTATTTTCAATAAAACTACAATAATACGTTTAATATTTTATTGAAAATAGAAAAAACTACATAGGTAATATGATATTTGAAAACCAGTGGCGTAGACGTTCAACATTTCTCTGGGTACAGGAAAATTGTCCGTTGGTGTGGCATGGATTGGAATCAGCAACAAAGTTTCCAGTAGCACACGGTGTACCATCATACTTGCAAACATCAATAATGTTGGGAAAAACACCAAAAATGTGACATTTCTTGAGTAAAAAGTTTGCTTTCTGTTCTCCACGAACGTAGACATAGTCAGCCGCATATATCACCTTATTTTTAATTATTTCATTTAACTTGGAATATTTAACGTCGCCGGAAGAATATTTAAGCCCATGGAAATTCTTCTCCAAGTAAGCGACAGTTTTCTTGTCTTTAGTATTTAATGTAGAAAAAGGTTGCGGAGGTGTAAAGATGTAATGACTTTTCTTGAAACCAATTTCGATACATAGTTCTTTAGGTACGAATAATCCGTCAACTGTAAAGCCTTGAATGTCAACAAACGCGATCCTCATGATGTCTGATGCGGAACTGAGAGTCCTTCGTTGCTTACGAGATGGTTTTAATAACTTCGGTGAGGGGGAAGTACTCGATTAAGCAGTCATGTATAATGATGCAGTAGGCCTTGGTGTTGGTTGGAAAGCCAGTATCGGCTTCGATATCCAATCTAACATCAACAGTTGATGATTTCATGGTTTCCTCTTGTTTGGAACAGTCAATAACAAACAAAGCGCGATTTTTAAAAGCGGTATAATCTAAAAGACATCTCTTCAGAGGAGAAGAAGAAGTTGTATAGCTGGTTTGAAAGTCGCTATAGTTGAAATGAGCTTCAGTAAAGTGATTGTTTGCAAAGTCCAATTGCATACGTTCGTTGGGATAGTATTCACCATTTAAAGATACTCGAATACTAGCAGCATTCACGTGATCAAACAGGGTAGGGTCTGAGGTTGCGACGTCACGTTTACCGGTTTGGAAACATACTATAATGAAACGTGGTCTTTCGATTGCGGTGCTAGTTTTAACTGACCATATTTCTCTTCTCGCATCTGCGGTAATTGCAGGCAGTTCATTCAGATCCCATTTTCTAAATGGTATAAGTATCGGCTTATCAGTTTGAATAGCTTTCAAAAGTTGTTCTTTCACATCATCACTCGGGTAAATATGTTTGATTTTCAGTTCCATGCTTTCAATAGTTATTTTCGCTGTCGTCGTCGTTCCAGTTTTTTCCTTGATAATGATACAATCGTTATCGTTTCTAGCTCTCACAAATCTGAGAGTTTGTCTGCCACACGTAATCATAGGATAATCATTGAAAATGTTGAAAATATGTTTAAGCGGCATTAGCAAGCTAAAAGACTTGTTATGTGTTGACGCCATTATAGGTGTTGAAGGATAGTTCCATCCAGCTATAGCCATATGATTTGAGTCTTCCTCACTGTAACATACGTAAGCTCGGACAGTACTTACAATACCAGGATCACGTACTGTTTCAACTTCTCTAGCGGATTCACTGTAAGTGCAAGAGTCAAATAGGAAGGCACCAAAGTTTGGAGCTAAAGATACATCTCCTGCTCCTCCTCCTCCAGTTATTTCAACTTTTCCTTTGATAGATAGAAGGGAAGCGTTCATTGCAAAGAACGAATCTACTTGATTGATGCTAAATTCCACAACATCATTACAATTAAATGACCTGATGAACGGCGTATAAGATCTATACTCAGCCTTGCGAATAGATTCATCGAATGCTGGAGATCGATATAGATCAAACATCGGAGAAGTATGTGATGCTGCTGCTGCTGCCTCCTCAGTTTTTCTCTTTTTGTACATGATTCTTGTTGTTGTTGACATGATATCCAAGTGAGCGTAGAAACAGGATATTTGATGTAGTTAGTAGTAGATGTCGTCGCTTAGGTGCTTGGGGTAATACTGAAGTTGCCTTGGAAGCACCACTATGTCTTATAATCACTAATCCCATCTGCGCTTCGCTCTCAACTCCAACACAAGAGTACTAGTTTCACCTTGAAAGTTTACAGGACGACCGTCTTGATCTAAAGCCAACACTGTGATGTTGGTTATTTCTTGTTTCGGTATAACAGGTAGATATAGTAAATTTACAGGTGTTTCGACTATAGCGTATCCAGGATCGGCTGTCACAGCAAATTCGTAGATCGTGTGTGCAGGCGTGTCTCCGTCAAAGGCTCCCGACGTAATGTTAGCATCAAAGTGTATGGTTGATACTTTTATTATGTTTACAGGTAAATCAGAAGAATGCTTTTGACCAGGATTAAGAACTTTTTTCGAGAATCCCAATAGATGTCCAAGATTATTCGGTTCTGTAAAAACTATTTTATAATACTTGCTAAAGATTTCACATTGCAGTGTATTATTGTTAGGTTTTAGAGAAAAATAATCATCCGGAGGAGCAACTTCATTTTCAAGATTCATTTGCGTTCGTATAAATGTTTCTATGTCGGTAATTTCATAACAACCTGTCGGAAACTCGATGACTTTTAATTGACCACCACCACCACCTATCCGGTCGATATAATAAAATTTATCTCCTTTTTCAATATTCGGTATGGAATTGTATGAAGTAAAAGACCTAAGCGCCAATTCATAATCTTTTTTCGGATCCAACACTATCGGTGTTGAAGGACGAAATGAAAATATATGAGTAGTGCTATTGACTCTCAACAACTGCGACATGATGAATGAAAAAATATAGCTGTGTACTAAGCATTTATTCAAGTTTTTTTTTTTTGTTTATTTTCGAATGGATAATTTACAGAAATAACAA